GGGGATCTGCAATGGCTCCAGTGGGGATCTGCCATGGCTCCAGTGGGGATCTGCCATGGCTCCAGTGGGGATCTGCCATGGCTCCAGCGGGGATCTGCCATGGCTCCAGCGGGGATCTGCCATGGCTCCAGCGGGGATCTGCCATGGCTCCAGCGGGGATCTGCAATGGCTCCAGCGGGGATCTGCAATGGCTCCAGCGGGGATCTGCCATGGCTCCAGCGGGGATCCGCAATGGCTCCAGCGGGGATCTGCAATGGCTCCAGCGGAGCGAGCGGGAAGCGGGGCCCGGCGGGGCTTTGCTGTGCAGCCGACCCAGCCCAGCTCCCGTCCTGGGTGCAGCGGGGCTTCTCCCCGCCACGCCGGACCATCCTCAGCCTTCCTGGTCGGGGCGTGGAGGGAGCTCCGGGCTTCCCAGGCGTTTGATGCCAGGAGCCAGGATCGCGGAGAGGCCCTCCCGGTTGGAGTTCCCCCGGGGGCAGCCCCTCGGTGGCACCAGATCCAATTGGGCTGGTGGTGCCGACGACGGGCTTCCTCGCCCAGGACTAGGCATCTCGGGATCGGGGTCAGCCGGAGCCAGTTGGAGAAAAATGGAAAAGGAACGGGGGGGAGGGAAAGTGGGTTTTGGGAACGGGCGGAGTGGAAGAGAAAGTGCTGGTCCAAGCAGAAGCTGCCACGTGTTGTTTGATGGATGGGGAGCTAGCGCTAGCGCTTAGACTTAGAGACCGCTTTATAGACCCCTCTGAGGGGTTTACAGAGTCAGCCTGTGGCCCCCCAACAATCTGGGTCCTCATTTGACCGACCTGGGAAGGATGGAAGGCTGAGCTGAGGCAGGTGGGAATGAGATGTCCCCGTCCCAGGGACACACAAGGTGGGCAAAAAAGCCTTAAGGCAGGGGGTCTTCAAACTTGGCCACTTTTAAGACTTGTGGACTTCAACTCCCAGAATTCTGGCTGAGGAATTCTGGGAGTTGGAGTCCACAAGTCTTAAAAGTGGCCAAGTTTGGAGACCCCCCTGCCTTAAGTGGATTGTGAGGCCTCCCTTTGAGTCCTCATTCCTTAAAATCCAGCGGGACCCTCTCCCCTTTACAGCAAAACCTACGGGAACGTCCTGGTCCTGGACGGAGTCATCCAGTGCACCGAGAGGGATGAGTTCTCCTACCAAGAAATGATTGCCAATCTCCCGCTGTGCAGCCATCCAAATCCTCGGAAGGTGAGCATGCTTTGCTTGCTGTTGGCTACCTGGGCTGGGGACGGCCCCCGGCGGGGTGCCAGGCCAGACTTCGCAGCCACACCAGGAGACGGAGTCCATGGAGCCCGGCCCCTTCTCTTGGCAAAGGTGTTGCTATGCCCTGGAGTAGCCTTTCCACGTGGTGGAGACCCGTTGGGGAGTAAACGAAGCAGTCAAATGTTGACCGATGATTCTTAATAGAAGATATAGACTATAGAAGTCTCTATTGGCCAAGTGTGATTGGACACACGAGGAATTGGTTTCCGGTGCCTAAGTTCTCAGTGTATGTAACAAGCAACAAGTGATCATCGTTAATTATATGTTCACGCAGCTAGTCCTCGTGGAGAAAAATCTCTGTTGCAATGCCCAATCTGTAGCATTAACATCCCTCCAGAGATCCTGGTAATGTTTAAAAGGCTGTTGAAACGCTGGCTGTTCCCCCAGGCGGGGGTAAGCTACGCTGACTCAGGAATTCTGGGAGTTGAAGTCCATGAGTCATAAAAGAGCCGAGGTTGCCCACCCCTGCCCCAGGGACTGTGGGTGCCAAGCCCTGTAGAATCACATCTATGTACTTGTTTTCTGGTACGGTAGATGCATACAATCCGTGCTTTTTTTCTACTTTTTAACACGATAAGCTCTCTTGGGGACTCGGCTGGCCTCCGAACCTAAGCAAGTCTTTGGTGGAGGTTAAGCTTGTAGCTTGAGGCTGCACCTTCTCCTTTTTGTCCAGATTCTAATTATCGGCGGTGGCGACGGAGGCGTCTTAAGAGAAGTGGTGAAGCATCCTTCAGTTGAGTCGGTAATACAGTGTGAAATCGATGAGGTACGCGGTCTTGATTTGCAAAACTTGATTTACTCTGGGAGCTGGTGGTAGGGCCTCCTGCATGAAAATCAGACACTGATGCTCCAAGTGGCACGGGTGTATTTGACCAGTAAGGAGGTGAATGTATATAGATGTATTTTATCTCGCTCCAAGAAAATATTTAGCACTATAGATATTGTAAAAGGAGAGCTGTGTTAATCTCTGGCAGCAAAGCTTATCTGTCAATAAATTCTCCTACTTTAAAGAGGGGCTGTCAGACTCCTCCCAATTTAAGTTTCCCAGACATCACAATGATTTTATAGCGATTATCACCAAGATCATGTATAATCTTGCAACATGGAACTAAAATCCTCAGGAGACTAAAATGAAGCAGAGTTGTGAAATTGCAGGGGTGTGTGGGTGTGATTGAAACCTGCCTTCCCGATGTTTGGACTTTACCTCCCAACATTTTCAGCAATGGGCTATGCCAATCCAATGCCTTTGCTCAGGGTGAGGTTTGTAGTACTGTTTAGGATTCAGGTTTTGTTTACATCTGCAATAAAGGAAGGCACCTCTGAGACTGCTAAGGTCTATTGAACTTAGCAAGTTTATTCTAATATTTTACTGAGATCCACCTCCTTGCAGTTTCCCTATTTGGATGGAGAAAACAGCCCTAAGTCTTGGACCAGAACTGCCGTGTTTAGTTGCTCTCTGTCCCCCCAAACAGGGTGCATTTGGTTTCCCCTTAATGCAGGGGTCTTCCAACTTGGCCCTTTTATGACTTGTGGACTTCAACTCTGGATGTTGAAGTCCACAAGTCATAAAAGGGCCAAGTTGGAAGACCCCTGCCTTAATGGAACGTTGTCCTGGTTAGATTGCATCAGGTGAAAAGAATTCCGACTGGCAGAATCTTCCAGAGTTGGGTGGAAGAGAAATTAAAGGATTTGATGCCCAGGAAGAGGCAGGAAATACTGCTTGTCCCAACTGGTGGGTGAGGTGGTTAGCCTGGAACAGGATGTTCTTCACCAAAGATGCTCCCCCCCCCCACCCCCAGTGAAAAATCAAACTCCAGGGCAGGAATGTTCTGGCAATGGATTTGCTCCCTCCGAGTCCTCAAACAACCTCGCAGTTCCCAGACTACGGAAATTGGGAGGCAGAAAAACAAGGCACTTTGTGGGAGAAACTCAGCAAGCCGTTAAAATTACGTTTCCTATCAAAGTTACCATGGCGGTTTCTTAATCATGATATTTACTGGGATTCATTCTCGGGCTGTTTATTTCTGAAATGATGGTCAGCTTGAAAAGTAGCCTGTATATCACGCAGTGGCAGTCCTGATTGGGCTCAAGGGCACAGCCCGGGCGGGATGCACAGAAATTATTGAAGCGGGTAGGGCCCATCGAGGATAAATTGGGAATGCAGAGAGAAGCTTCCTAACTATTTCCGTGTCCTGGCTACATCAGAAGCAGATCCTGAGGATTAAACCACGGAAGGGCTGGGTCTTAGTGGTAGCTCCAATTTGAAAGGCCGAGATTGATTCTCCAGCTTCTCCAGGCAGAGCTAGGGGGAAAAAAAAACCTTGCTTGAAATCCTGGAAAGACGTGACGTGATGTCAAGTGACTTTGATTGGCAGAAGAGTTCCACGCCCGTCCGATCAGTTGCCCCGAGTGACAGTTGGGGCTAAGCTGCTCCTGGAACTCGTTGGAGGTAGAAAAATGCATGACTCAAAATGTTGCAGGACGTGATCCAGGCCTCGAAGAAATATCTCCCGGGCATGGCGGTGGGCTATTCCAGCCCGAAGCTGACCCTCCACGTTGGGGACGGCTTTGAGTTCATGAAGCAGAACCAAGAAGCTTTTGACGTGATCATCACCGATTCTTCTGACCCCATGGGTGAGTCTGGGCAGCCGGGCCCCACCGGCAGCCTTCTCAATCCATCTTTTTCCTGCTTTGGGTTAAGGCCTCCTTCCGTCCCTCCTCCTCCAATTTTATCCTTACAATGATCCTGGCCAGTTGGTCAAGAGAAGGACAGCTCCTCTGATCACTTAGCCAACTGCAAGCCAAGGGGGATTTGAACCCACACCTCTCCAGTTTTAAATCTGGTGCATTGACCTTGCAGTGCTCTCTTTTTTTAACACCCCCTTTCTCGTCAGGTCCTGCCGAAAGCCTGTTTAAGGAATCCTACTACCAGCTGATGAAAACCGCCCTGCGGGAAGATGGGATCCTCTGTTGCCAAGGTGATTCCCGGCCAGGTCTTGTCCGGCTCTCCCTTGCTAGAGGGAGCCAAACCTCTCTTTTGGCCTTGTTTTTCTGCTATTGGGCGTTAAGATCCTCCTTAGAGCGCCCCCAAACAGTTGGGGCTCTGCATTCTCAGCACGGTTAACCCAAGTCAGTTGCAAACAGAATACAGGTCATCCTTGATTTACAACAGTTTGTTTAGTGACTATTCAAAGTTACAACGGCACCGAAAAAAAGGGGAATTAGGGCCAGTTTTTCACTTGCGACCGTCGCAGCGTCCCCAGGGGCACGTGATCAAAATTCAGACGCTTGGCAACTGACTCGTGTTTATGACGGTTGTAGCGTCCCGGGGACGTGGGATCCCCTTTTGCGACCTTCTGGCAAGCAAAGTCAAAGCCAGATTCCTGCCTGAGCAGGGGGTTGGACTAGACCAGGGTTAGGCAACCTTGGCTCTTTTGTGACTGGTGGATTTCAACTCCCAGAATTCCTGAGCCAGCCGTGCTGAGGGGAAAGGGAGAGGTTTCCAAGCTGAGCCACGCTGGCTCAGGAATTCTGGGAGCTGAAGTCCATAAAAGAGCCAAGGTTGCCTACCCCTGGACTAGATGACCTCCAAGGTCCCTTCCAACTTTATTATTATTGTTGTTGTTGTTATTATTATTATTATAACAACCGGGTTACTAACTTAATAATAATAATAATAATAATAATAATAATAATAATAATAATAATAATAATAATAATATGATGATGATGATGATGATGATGATGATGATGATGATGATGATGGAAAGGACCTTGGAGGTCATCGAGTCCAACCCCCTGCTCAGGCAGGAAACCCTATACCATTTCGGACAAATGGCTGTCCAGTCTCTTCTTAAAAACTTCCAGTGTTGGAGCATTCACCGCTTCTGGAGGCAGATTGTTCCACTGGTTAATTGTTCCAACTGTCAGGAAGTTTCTCCTTAGTTCTAAATTGCTTCTCTACTTGATCAGTTTCCATCCGTTGCTTCTCGTCCTGCCTTCAGGCACCTTGGAGAATAGCTTGACTCCCTCTTCTTTGGGGCAGCCCCTGAGATAGTCACACAACAACGGTGGCGAGAGAGGGGCAGAATTCATTTTAACAGCTGTCTCCCTTAGCAACGGGGGTTTGGTGCTCCATAGTTGAGAACTGCCTGTAATTACCTTTGCAAAATATGCCGTGGTTACTTTTAACCTTGGTTTTGGGGTTGGCTTAAGAGCTGGAGGGCATGTACAAACCCAGAAAACCGGTCTTATCCCGCCACAAGATTACTTGCGCGGTGCTTTTATATAAAAGCGAGAAAAAAACACGATGAGACTTGCAGGAGAACAACCGTCGTCTCTGATTCTGAGCTGCCTGGAGAAAAACCAGAGCCGGGGCAGACGAGACAAATCCTCCTGTTTTTTATTTTTATTTTATTTGTTTGTTTGTCCCTCTTTCGACCAGGGGAATGCCAGTGGTTGCACCTTGACCTCATAAAGGAGATGCGCCAGTTCTGTAAATCTCTCTTTCCGGTGGTTGAGTACGCCTACTGCACCATCCCGACCTATCCCAGTGGCCAGATTGGCTTCATGCTTTGCAGCAAAAATCCAGTAAGGACCCAGAGGGGTTTTGTTGTGTTTCTCCCCCCACCCCCAGTTGGTGTCATTGTGTATGGAGGCCCGGTGCAAGGCAGAAGAGGTGTCCATCTTTGTGGACATCTCAAATTGCTCCTGAGCGTCTGGCTTCTCGGTGGTCTTCCTTTGCACTGTCCAGTGGGGTGTGATTGTTGCCCGCTCGGGCCTCGTGGTAGTAGAGAAATCCTTTCCTCTCCTGGCACTTCTGGATACGGAAAGCTGCACGGGTGATTCCAAGGGCTGTGAGCGAATAAACACGGCCGTTTTTCATTTTTTCCCCTGTTTTTTCTTCCTCTTGTGCGAAATCTTTGGCAGAACACCAACTTCAGGGAACCGGTCCAGCTACTTTCCCAGGAAGAAGTAGAGCAAATGAGCCTTAAGTATTACAACTCGGACATCCACCGAGCCTCTTTCGTCCTGCCGGAGTTCGCACGAAAGGTAAAACCACTTGCGGTTTGTTTTTTTTTTGCCCTCCCTTTTGACGTCAGCGTGACGAATGCTGCAAGCCGTGGATTTGTTCCCATTCTCTGCCGCTTCCAGTGTGAGTTTCCTTGCCTTGCCCCACCCCAGTCGCTGTAAGCTCTCCCTTAGCCGTCTTTGCTGGCTTGCTCGGGCTCCCACTTTGTCCCTTCCCTCCAAAGCCTGGGAAAGTAGGGTGGGGCTGGTTTATCACTTTTGGTTTGGAGCAGAGTGTTTCCCATGCTTTACCCGCCCGTTTCCTTTAACAGGCTGTATTTTTCTGCTTCTCTTCCCTCCTCCCCCCCCCCTTTCCCTTCCCCAGGCACTGAGTACCGTGTAAAAAACACCACCGGACAGCTTGGCCTCTTCCCTTGAACTTCTGGGAGGGGGGGGGTCTCAAAAAGTGGCATCGTTCCTTCGGCGATGGCTCGGCCCTCCTCCTGTCTGCGCTCCAGGCACCCTCTCTGCCAGCTGGACGTTCCTTCCTGTTATGTATTTAAAGAAAAGGACTTGGCGTTTGGCCCATGGCAAGCGTCCAGAATATCTGCCCGGGCCTGGGTGGCAGGCTCTGCTGTTTCCAGAACGGAGTATTCACCCAGCTGCCCGCCGGCCTTTCCTTTTTAACTGCCCCAACTTGTGGATCTGTATTTATAGCTAGCAAATATATGCCTCCCTTCCGGGTTTTTTTTTCTTTTTTTTTCTGATGCTCCCTCCTGTGACTCAGCAGAGGGCCTGCTTTGGCAGCCCCCAGCCCACCCCACCCTGCACAGGGTGATGTTTTCAAAAGCGAACACCCACTTCCCATCCTTTTCCCGATTTGCCCCCCGTTGTTCGTCTCCCAGAGGACCAGCAGATCCTTCTGTTTCACTGTTTGGGTATTTCTCTCTCTCCCCCCCCCCCCCGCCGCCCTTGACTTGGACTCTGCTCTGAGTCTGACCCCATGCAGCAGCTGCCAGCTGTGTACATGCTGCTTGGCCTGCCTGCATCAAGAGAGAAGAGGGAGGAGGCGTTTTTAAGCTCCCCCTCCGTTTTGTGCCGCCGGAAACGTCCGCGGAATCGGAGAGCGCTCCCACGCGACAAGCGAGTCTGGGTCTTTTTCCGCGCCGCTCCCCAAAATCACTGTTGTAATCATGTGTCTTTGTTAAAAGCAGGGGCAGAAGCAGCCTAGAAACGAATGACCATTTACCGTTTTGTACAAACGCGAGGAACTGTCCACCTTTTAAGGAGATAACCGTGGTGCGTTTCGGAGGTGGCTTGCAAAATGAAAATACATTTTTCCTTGAGCTGGTTCTTCTCCGGGATGTCTTGAGCTACCAGCTTGACGATGAAGCAGGCACCCTTTGACCCAGCCCTGCCCGTGTTCCTTCCCAATACCAAGATAGATTCCAGTCATCCTGGTTCAAAACAAGGGCCAGGGGCTGGGGATTATGGGGGCTGCAGTCCAAAGGCTCTGGAGAGGAGAGGGGTCCCTGATTTCAGCCAGTCCCCGTGTCACTCATTCTGCCTTCTGGTGGGAAAGCTGTGCCTAGGTATAGGCTAGAGGGATATATCTGTATGTATGATTTTATTATTTTTTTTCTTTTTTTTAAAAAAAAGTCTAAAACGGTCTTCGTCTCTCTTTTTTCTTCTCTTTTCTTTGGGGGGGGGTGGATTGAGGACAGCAGGCAGAGAAAAGAAAAGCTCGTCTTGCCAGTAACGCTTCTGCCCACAGAACCAGGAAGTGCCAAAACAACCTTTTTTATTTTGGCCTTTTGTGTTTATATTGGGATTTGGCAAATGCGTGTAGAATTCTGAGTGGTGAGAACGGCTGTCATTGTGATCGGCGTCTTTTGGCAAAAGGCAAGTGGTCAGGCCTGACGGAAATCGCACACCGATTATTTTGAAGACTTTACAGTTTGCTCTTCTCTCAGATTAAGTTCTTTTTTCCTTGATCGTGCAACAGCAATAGCACTTAGACTTATATACCGCTTCGTAATGCTTTGCAGCACTCTAAGCAGTTTACAGAGTCAGCCTCTTGCCCCCCCAACAATCTGGGTCCCCGTTTTACCCACCTCGGAAGGATGGAAGGAAGGCTGAGTCAACCTGCAGCCAGTCAGGATCGAACTCCTGGCAGTGGGCAGAGTCAGCCTGCAAATACTGCATTCTAACTGCTGCCACACCAGGGCTGTGAAACTAAAAACTTTACAAATGTGAACATGGGACTTTCAATATTTTTTTTAGGCAGAAAAACTGCAGATCCATATTTATTTTATTTTTCCTCGCCGGCCCTTTAAATGTACCTGCTTTGTGTGGGTTGATTGCCTTCAGTGTTTTAATGAAATGATTTTGGAGTGGGGGTGGGTGGGAATATTGTTCCCAGCTTTGAAAAATGAAGGGAGAAAGATTCATTATGCACAAAAAAGTGTGTTGTTTGCTGGTGTACTGGAAAAAAAAAACCTCCAATTTCATCATTTTCAATCCCACCCTCCATGTCTTAAGGCTATATACAAAATACTTGATTTGTGGATGCAGTTTCAAGACAGCTCAGCCTTTCAATTCAATTGCCAACTTAAGTGATGTGCCTTCAAATAATTTGAGAAAGGTTTAAGACATGGTTCAAAGCTTTGAGGGACTCAGTAGGTACAGATAATGTTCAATTTAATAATACAAATCTGACTTTTGAGTTGGATCGAGGATCAGCTGCAGTACCCTTTAGATTACCACCGGAGGGCGCCATTCTGCAACAGTTGAGTTGCAATCTTGGCTTAAGCAGGCTAGTTAGTAGATAGCGTTGCCCCCTTTTGGATCAGACCGGAATTGAAATTGCTGGCCCTCTTGGTCATTTTTGTAAAACAAAACTTTCTTGGGATGCTAGCCACAGAATTGGGAATGGATGTTTTTTTTTTCCACCCTCCAAAAAGTAACACCAGATTAGAAATAAAACCAGCTGCACACACTTAAACGTGCTTAGTTTTTATGTGTGCCTTTTGTGCAAAATAAGACGATGGCATAATTCTGTAATCAGGTTGAGCACTAGGCAAAAACAGCCTTTAGTTTGGATCAGGAATAGTGATGGAAGTGGGGCAGAATCTAAGTGTGAGGCTCTCTTTGGGCTGCTGGGATCATTTGCAGGTTTGGGAAGTTGAGAAAAGATACAGAAAATCGCTGTAAAGATCCTGAATATCCTATTGGGGTGATTCTCCATGGCTGAAGAAGGATGTTCCCCATCCCACCTTTCAAAGGTCACTTACATTTCCAGTGCCTGCAAAACATGCCTGGGGTGACCCGGGCATCGCCTGTCTGGAACCCAGCCGGCCTTCCGTACGCTCCCATTGACCCATTTTGGGGTCATCTCATCCTTCTTTTCTGGATCATGGCAAAGGGGAGCAAGACCCCTGCAATCCGTCAAGCTGCCAGCAGGGAAATTGCTTCGTGGATCGGACCTATTTAAAGAGAGAGCACCAGGATGAAGGTACAGAAGAAGAAAAAAAAACAGGTCCTGGGTTTTCAGTGTGACGTGGAAGCGATCTCCTTTGCAGCTTTTAATCTCAACTGCCTCAAGAGGGAGACATACTTAGCCTGGCAATTTGGGGATACAATCTTAGGCTAACACAATAGCGTAATACATACATACATACTCTCAACGCTGCTAACATTGGATGTTTTGCATTGACAACAGATGGAAATGTAGCCATCTTTTTCACTTTTAGAGTTAGATGACGCTGGGAGGAGCGGGGATGTGAAGGAGAGTCTAGCTAGACACAACAACACTAAACGTAGGGTGAGAATCAAGGTTATTGAGCCCTGAGCTGATAAAAGAATTGGCAGGCTGGAGAACTGGAGAGGAAGCCCTCGCTTCAAGCTAATTGGGGAATGTGATTTATGACGGTTAATTGGAGGAGGGAATTGTGCTTTGATACTATGTGCCCAGGGGAGGGGAATCCAGATTTTGGCTTCGATTATGCAGTGCCGATATTATGCTACTCGAATAAAAGATTCTTTAAGGTAAAGAAGTTCTTTTGAAGAGTTTCATCTGTCGGAATCATGACACATACATATATACATACATGCATACATACATTTATTTATTTATTTATTTACTTGCTTAATGGTCAGAATCTCAAAAGCCTGTGCACCAGCGTAGACTTAACTGCAAAGGGTCAAGAGATTACCTAGCTGAATCTTCTTCGGTTCTAGAATTGTTTAGAGGCCAAATTACACTTTGCAAGTCTGCCTCAAGCTGTAAGCGATCCACCTCTGCAAAGACATGGCTATCCACACATCCTTACACTAAGCTGTTGGGGGAATCATTTTTGTTCCTTTTCAAGCAAGGGGGGGGGGGAGTACAGCGTTCCAGATGAATTAGCCTGGAATTAAATACTGCAACCTATTTTGGTCACCATACTACGTAAAAAGATGTTGAGAGCCTGGAAAAAGTTCAGAGGAGAGCAACTAAGATGATCAAAGGAGACTGGAGACTAAAACATGAAGAACGGCTGCAGGACTTGGGTTTGGCTAGTCTTAAAAAAAGAAGAAACAGGGGAAGCATGATAGCAGTGTTCCAGTATTTGAGGGGCTGCCACAAAGAAGAGGGGGTCAAATTATTCTCCAAAGCACCAGAGGGCAGGACAAGAAACAATGGTTGGAAACTGACCAAGGAGAAGCAATCTGGAATTGAGGAGAAACTTCCTAACAGTGAGGACAATTAACCAGTGGAACAGCTTGCCTCCAGAAATCGTGGAGATTTTTAAGAAGAGGCTAGACAGTCACTTGTCTGAAATGGTATAGATTCTCCTGCTTGAGCAGGGGGCTGGACTAGAAGACCTCCGGGGTCTCTTCCAGTTCTATTCTATTCTAAATACTTGCAGCCACTACCTCCAGCCTCGCTAAGGGAGAAAAATGCTTATGGGTTCTAATTCAGCCAAGGGCCACAGATTTCTCCACTCTGTGGTACAATGAGCCAGAGCTGACCGGCGGTTTCATTCACAAGATGGTGAAGAACTGGGGATTCCTTCTCTGTCTCTGATCTCCAAACCCGTTTTTCAATGCTCAAGGAATGAGGACAACCAGCTACCACCGGGGGGGGGGGGGATCTATGTTCCCAACTGAGCAGTAAATCACGCAGAACGGAAATACCTGCAAATATTCTTCTTACCGTTTCTTAACGCTCTGCAAGAATTATAGCCCATGGCACCAAGTGTTCCTGATTAAAGAAAAAAAAAAGGTTCCAGCACTTTCATTGCACAGGGGGAACAAAACACAAAAGTGCTGCAGCTCAGAAGAAGCCGCTGTTCTACAATCACCCAGCTTTGAAATCCGGAGAAGTAGCATGAAGCTCTTGGCTAGCAGTGCGTTGACCCCCGTCCTCCTGACCTGGGCCAGGGAAGCTTTTGACCTTATTTATTTATTTATTTATTTTATTTGATTTATATCCCGCCCTTCTCCCAACGGGACTCAGGGCGGCTCACAACATATTAAAAAACATAAATACATTTACAACCCCACCGAAATAAAACCAATTAAAACCAAATATTTAAAGTTGTGCTATTTAAAAATTACTCCTAATAAACCCTTAGTCTCTTAACGGTTAAGTAGAAGAGATACACATTCTTCCAGGATGCAGTGACCCTGGCCTGTTTCTGCCATATCAAGCATGGTCACCGAGAGAACAGATGAGGGTACTCCTAGCCATCTGAAGGCGC